GAAGGGAGCCTTGTTTACAAGGTGTTTTTCCTCACCTAACAGCAGGCTCATCACCACCACTGAAAAGTTAATAATATTTAACAGATGCCTGTTCAATAATAAAAAAAAAAAAAAGCAGCAATGCCATAGCCAGTACCTTTACCTGTAATTATCCAGTTTCATTAAAGACAGCAAATTGTTAAATGGATGTCACAGAGTTCTGCTACATGATTCTCTCCATACTTGTGAAAATCGACGCTGTCATCCAGTGACTCAGCCTGGCTGGGTCTTGCGAGCATCACCGGCGGAGGGCCACGGAACCCACACTGGGCTGTGCTTCAGCCCGGCGCCCGGATTTAGTTTGGCTTCGACTCCCGTGGCTGGCAGCGACTGCAAGTTTCACCAGGGAGAAGCTCAGTCCCATAGCAGACCAGGTGATTCCACCAAAAAATGACCAAAAAATAAAATACAAAAAAGCCACAACTTCTCTTACATGAAGGATTGGCCTAGAACGGCCGAAATCCTAAGCTGGGTCTACTTGTGGGGAGAGACCTGCGCTGGTAAATCAGTCCCAGAAGTCTGACGGGTGCTCGGTTTCCAGCCGGGGAGAGGGAAGTGCCGCCATTCCCTGTGGAAAACTGGGTCCTGCCACAGTAGCAGGATAACTGGGCAGGAGGGGGTTTGTGCGTTTGCTTTTAATTGCTACTGTGATAACCCCGTCCCTGACGGACCCCCTCCAAGCTCTGTGAAAAGTAAGATCTGTTCAGTAGTTTAGATACAGGCAGCCAGCCTCAGCTGTTATGGGAAACCTGTGGGAACAAAATCTACTGCTTGTGTCTCCTTTTAACGTGCTGGGTGTGAGGCATTACACCTTCCCTCCGAGCTCCTCTTACAGACAGTCCCCAGGATTTGGCTGAAGCCTTGCCCACACACCCAGATGCTACTCACACTACTGAGGTGAGTCACACGCCGGAGCACACCTGCCACTCACTACCGGTAACCTCATCTCTGCCCAGGAGGCCCAGGCTCAGCAGTAAATGCAGGGCAAGAAATTTCAGGCAAAATACTCATTTCATGCAAAGAGCACACTCATCATCAAGTGACAGAGATCCTAATGACATGGGCTAGCAAGTTGGTCTTGTAGACAGAAGGATTCATCTTTGCACAAAAGCAAGAGTAAGTTGTTCGCAAAGCTTTGGGATACGCTCAGAGCCGTTTACTAACTCTGAAGGGGAAAAAGAGCTATAGGGCCTAAGAGATGCCAAATAGAAGAATAAGAGGAGTTGTCACTTGAGAAGTGCTTCCTAGCTGGTGGTGGATATTCATTTAATAACCTCTGTTCCCTAACAGATGCCGGACCCGTCCTGGGTAACATGAAAAGGATGAGAAAGGTGAATAAGCAAAAGCTGGGTGAGCTATTGCTGGAAAAAATTGCTGTCCCAAGTAACATGATGGGGCCGATGCACCAAGGGCATGTGTTTTAGCTTCCCCTAATTTTATTTTTCCCATAGCTGTCTTTAAAGAGTTCCTTTAAATTGTAATACCTTGAGGCAGGAAATTTTTTTACTTACCTATAAGGAACTGTGATCGTACTGTAAAAAACAAGATCACAGACAGACTGTTGTCTTTCTTGGGGATTTTCCTTCTCTTCACTGCCTTTCATGCCTTCTCAAGAAAAATCTCATTTTTTAATTGCTACCAGCCATAGCTGTGATGTAATAGTTTAGTGTTACTTTCTGAATCTACTGATACTACAACCATACTTAGTGACAACTTTTTAATAGGTGCCTCATTATGGTAATTATGATCACTTCAAGTATTTCAAAATAGTTCTTCCTGCAGTGAGGCTCATCTTCCATATTATGTCATATTCAGTTCTCCCTTTTACAGCCATTCTGGCTGGATGCTACAGCATGCCCTGTCCAAAGCTAAATTTCCTGACTATATGCACTGTCTTGATTTTGGAAGACTTTTTCGGCATCTTCAGAATGCCACAGCTGGAAAAGCAAAGAGCACCTCCAGGCAGGGAGCCCTGCCTGCAGTCTGGATGATCCGCCCCTTGTAGCTAAGACCCTCTTTGTACTGGTTTGGTAGTGCTTGCCTGCAGTCAAGAACTGAACATCATTTTTTTGCACTTTATAATATCTGTGTTTTGTTGCCTCAGTGGCTATACCTGTACAGCCCTCTATGTGGGGGCTGCCTTTTACTTTGAAATGGGGTGGATACCTCCCTGCTGCCCATTGAATAGGATTTTGGCACACACTATCTCCCAAAACATCCATAGAAATGTTGGCTTCAGAAGGTCATTTTGACTGGACTCCTGCTTCAAATGGGACCCAGGAACCATCTAGAAAAGTACTAATTGGCACAGGCCAAACTTCTTCCAGGTAGCATACTAATAATTAAATATTGCATGCAGTAATGAATCAGTAGCTCCCCTGTTGTATTTACTAATATACAGATAGCTGATGATAATTAAATATGTCTTTAGTTTTATCACCTTTATTTTCTTCGTTCCCCAAATCAGAGTGCTGCGATCCCAAGTCCTTCTCCTGCTACCTGTACTTTCAGAGGCAGACTAGTACCCTCTCAGTGATGTGAGAGCACCTTAAAGGCAGAGGCTTGGGAGATGTGTATGGAGGACCCAAGGCCAACCAGTGAGACCTTCAGTAAGAGGAGAGCCTACCGTTTGTGCAGAGGTTGCAGGATGACTATTATAGGACATGTATGAGTGCTTGTGTGTATGTGTGGTGGGAATACAGAATACAGCCAACTGGTGCTTCTGTTGCCATTGGCAGTGAATTGAGAAATGTGTTTTAGGGGTGGGTTAAGAAAGGAGTTTAAATCCCATTATCAAATTAATCCATCCATTGCAGGCAACTGTTTATCCTGTAAAGATTTGCCTTGGACATACAGGGGCAGAAAAGTCCAGAATAAGCCACCCTGAATTCTACCTTTTGCTATGGCAAAGGAGGGGAGTTTTCTGTCTGCAGGAGACATGACCTGATGGTGAAGTGGCCAGAAATTATCTGTGGCAGCAGCAGAGGGATGGAGACTGGAAGGAATCCTGCCTTGATGAGGCTGTTCTCTGATCATTTTATAGCTCTGTCTCAACCTCTGAGTAGCATATGAAGGAACTGAAGTTACTGTCTTAGGTTATCTTCATTCATTTTTTAATTACAGAGTACCAAAAACTTGCAGTTAGTGGTACTATATGTT